TTGCGTCATAATCTAGACCATATGCACATTGAGAAGAATGTGTGTGAGAATGTGATATATACTTTGCTCAAGGATACTGAAAAGTCAAAAGACAATCTTAAAGCTCGGAATGATCTTAGAGAAATGGGTATAAGGAAAGAACTTTGGGCAGATAAGAATGGAAGCTATCGTCCAGCCTTGTTCACTCTTTTAAATTCAAAGAAAAGTGAATTTAAGAAAGACATATTTTTGCGTACTTTAAAAAATGTCAAAATGCCCGATGGATATGCTAGCAACATTTCAAGATGTGTTGACTTGAAACAACAAAAGCTCAAGGCAATGAAGAGTCATGATTTTCACATTCTCATGCAGCACTTGTTACCAATTGCCATACATAATATTTTACCAGACAAGGTGACTGCAGTATTAATAGAGTTGAGTTCGTTCTTCCGTCAACTCTGTGCCAAAAGCTTAAGTCCCTTATACCTTGACAGGCTCCAGTCTCGGTATTTTATCACCATGAATCACCTGGAAATGTTATTCCCTCCTACATTCTTTACAATCATGGTTCATTTAACTTGTCATCTAGCGGGTGATACAAAACTTGGGGGACCTCAACAGTGTCGGCGGATGTATCCTATCGAGAGGTAAACAATATTTCTCATTGCTTGATTGGAGCTTGTTATTTAAGAATAGATGTAAATTTGTATCCATCAACTAATTTTTGGTCTTTTGTTTAGGTATTTGGGACACTTCAAATCCTATGTGCGAAATATGTCACAACCAGAAGGCTCTATAGCTGAAGGATATCTAGCTGAAGAGGCTCTTACTTTTTGTTCCCAGTATATTGAAGGGATTGAGACAAGATTTAATAGGCCACGCCATGTTGACGATTTTCCGGTGGATAGAGGCTCGGCGAATTCATCTAGTATTTTCCCACAAGTTGGTAAAGGACTAGGAGCTGTAACATTTGAGTTGTCACCTATGGAAAAACGTCAAGCACATCGATATGTTACTAAATTGTCCACAAGTCATGCCATTCATTATGTGAGTATTTAAGGCAAATCTAAATAAAACATGCATTAAATACATGAAAACTTATGTTAATTGTTATATTTATATCAAAACCTCACATAGTGAATTTAAAGCTTATATGCGGAGGCAGTGAAAGGGTCGAAAGCCTTCAAACACGGAGATAGAGAAGATAGTTAGTAAAGACTTTATTGATTGGTTTCCTCGAAAGGTTGGTTACAAATGTATTAAAATTTTATAACTTTAAATTTGTGACTAACACATTTTACATTCTTGTTTCAGATTGTTAATCCAGACATTTGAAATATTGTGTCTGATGAACTAAAGTTTTTAGCAGATGGTCCAGCACCATATGCTAGAAGGTTTACATCATTTAATATCAATTGGTTCAAATTTCGGACAACAACTAGAGAACATGGGTTGAAAACGCAAAACAGTGGGGTTTTTTTGACTTCGACCACAACTTGTATTGCTAGTGGTGCTGATGGAAACCTGAGGCAAGCAGATTTGCCATATTATGGCAAATTAGAAGACATCATTGAGCTTAACTACTATCGATTTAGGGTTACACTATTCAAGTGTAAATGGGTTGACACAACTAGGGATATGGGGTTTAGAAAGGATGCATAGGGATTTTCTTCGGTTAATTTTTCACAATTGATTCACATTGGTGATCGTGAAGAGCATGATCCATATATTGAAGCTTCACAAGCTCAAATGGTATATTATGTGGATGATGAGGTGAATAAAGGATGGAGTATTGTTGTTCACTTGAAACCAAGAGACTTGCATGAAATGGGAGAAGGAGAGAATGAAGTTCCTGAGAATGAGCCATTTCCGGTGCAAGACTTAGATCAATTCTTTGATGATGTGAATGATCTAATTTTGAGTCGGGAGGATGAAATTGATGAAGTATTAGGTGAATGCAATATTGAAAATGAGATTGGGGAAGATGAACATATTTGAAGAGCCACTGCCAACCCATTTTTAGTCTAAGAAACCAAATTATATCTATGCTTATAGTTGATCAACAATATTGAAAATTCCTTGTTTTTTTTGCTTTGGCATTATAAATTGTTGACTTTTTCAGCTATTATGAATTGATAGAGTTGTATCTGTTGTTACTTTTATTGGTCAGTTATTGTGTATCAGCACTTGTTATTATTGTTGCATCTATTTGATATTATTGTATAAGTTACAACCATGGTTGGATTTATCATATTTAATGCTTTTTTCCCCATTTTGTAGGTGGTGTCACTGTAGATCTGTTTTTTTTAATCTGCACTGTTTAGCTTGAGCTTGGGATTGTTGGTTCTTGGTCCTGCGTGTGTGTATTTGGTCCCTGCAAATTGGAGTGCAGGTTGTGGTTGCTCTGCTTTCTGTTGTTGGTGGATCTGCTGCTTTTGGAGCCCTTAAATCTTGTTTCCAATTTGCAGAAACTAAAGTGAAATGTAAGCTGCTAAATACCATCTCTGTTAGACAGAAAGTTTTCTGATAGTATAAATGTTTTTTGGTCAGTCTTGAATTTTAATTTCTGTGATAGATTGGGATGTGCACATGCAATTGATTCCTGTAACCTTGAAATTTTAGTTACTCAACCTTGTAACGTAGGAGACACATTGTCTTTCTAGTTGAGCATTAAGTCACTATAAAGAAACGTGACCATCTGCAGTTTTCAACTAAACAATATAAAACTATTATCTGGGACATCATTTTGTCACCCTCTATTTATATATTCTTGTTTAATGAATTACTCTTGTTTTATATATAATCATTTTCTATAAAAGCCAAGTTTCCTTTCGAACCAATTTCCTATGTTATAATATATATTCTATATAGCTCCAGGCATTTGATATAATTTGTTAGTATTACCTTGTTGATTGGAAGAGGGGTTAGTAGACAAGAGGGGTTGCTATGGTGGTAATCAACCTCCACTTCCAACCAAGAGGTTGTGAGTTCGCCTCTCCCCAAGAGCAAGGCGGGAAGTTCTTGGAGGGAAGGATGCCGGGGGTCTATTTGGAAACAGTCTCTCTACCCCAAGGTAGGGGTAATGTCGTACACACTACCTTCCCCAGACCCCACTAAATGGGATTATACTGGATTGTTGTTGTTGCTGTTGTTGCACCTTGTTGATTGGTGGTAGTTGTGGTTGGTGCAAGATGGCTGGGTTTGTGCACCATATAATCTCTGCTTTGTGTCTAATTGAGTTTACTGGTTGATGTTTTGTCCCTCAACACCAATGGGTTTTTCATTTTCCTGACATGGAGTTTGATGTTGATAGTTTTCATGTAAGGTATAGTAAACTGAAGCTTTCTGAACCTGCTGACTGAGTACTCCTTTGTTTAATTCATCTTTACTTGAAAAATTAAACATGGTGCTACTTTCCTGACATGGAGTTTGATGTTGATATTACTCATTTGCTATGTTTGCATATGAACTTGGTTGTTACTTTGTTCAACCATCTATATATGTAGAGATGCCGAAGCAAAATCTGGTGAAAAATCTGTTCAAATCAATCAGAGGGAGCTCTTTACTTGCTCCAGAGCAGTCATCACATGCTCAGTCTTAGGCTCAAGCTTCATATTCATCTTCTGATCAAGACTCTTTACGTCATACATAACCCATCATTCCATCTTCATCAACTAATAGAGTCTCATCACAAAATGGCATTCCAGCTTCATCAATTAATAGAGTCTCTTCACAGATTCGCATTCCAGCTTCATCAACTAACAGTCTCGTCACAGAATGGCATTCCAGATTCATCAACTAATACAGTCTTAATACAGTCTCGTCACAGAATGGCATTCCATCTTCATCATCTGATGGAGTCTCTTCACAACCAATTATACGTAGACGAGTTACAGATGACTCGGAGCCTCGTGATTGGATTGTCGATGTTATAGGTACATATAAATTATAAATGATTTTGTTTTCCTCGATTAATATTTTTATATGTTCTTTATTTTGTTGCAGATGAACGTCAAGTGATAAAATCTATTAGGTTGAAGGTCCAGGATGTCCATTACTTGGAGAATGGATCGCGTATAATTGTAAAATGTGATGAGTTTGCTCAACCTATTGGAAAATCAGCCGGCCTTCTTGCAGGATTTTTGGGGCAGCTTGCTACAAATCCTCGATACTTTCCTATTGGCTTCGAGAGTTGGGCATCCATGCCTAAACCTTTTGTGAACCGTGCTTTTAATGATTTCGTAATGGTAATGCCTTTTAATTCTTTTGCTTAGTTTGTATGTTATAGTTCTGTCAGCAGTAAACTAACATATATTATTTTGTGAAGTCTCGGTTTTCCTTTACGAGTGATCCGCAAAAGGTAAAAGGTTGGATTAACAATTCACTTAACAAAAAGTGGAAGGAATTAAGACTTAAACTAGTTCATGAGGCTGAGGATCCATTGTTGAGTAAAGAGGATATCATCAAGAATGTTCCAGAAGGCATTCCCATGGATCAATGAGCATTGTGAACACCTAATTTTTTACCACACCCAAATTCTATTCTATGTTAGTGTAAATATTTTCTTTTATTTTATTTCCTTTTGTATAGAGAAAATAAAAATTTACAAAATATATATATATGATTTCTTTTAATTAGAATTTTAATAAGTAAGCTATGTTATCTTTTCCTAGTATTATTTAAATTTTATGCAAAATATTTAATTTTTCTCTTACTTTTCTTTGTCTAAAAGAAGTGGGTCCATATTTTTGTTTATGTATTTTACTTTTACTTTTTTTTATTAAAAGAAGTAAATAAAGTAACATTACTTTTAATTAAAAAAAAAAAAGAGAAACCCTAGCTAGGCCTATCAGCCCTTATCCCTAAAAAAAACCCTTCTCCATCACAGTCATTTTACCCCACAATACTCTCACGTTTGAATCCCACTCCCTAACGTCACAATGCACACACACATGATCTCCCCCACCCCTCACGTTTTGTTGCCTCACTCTTCACACACATTCTATATATGCACACATTCACATAAAGGAGGGGACAGATTTTTAAAAGAAAAAACTTGGAACAAAAAAAACGATATTTAGTGCAAACTAAAAGAGTGAAAACGAGTGGGAAAACGCTTGGAAACATCATAAAATAGCAAGCACTCACGAATATATCGGAGTTCTCGATCGGGTCTGCGGTTTTCCGTCAAGCTTCTTTTGTGGTTAGCGATCTTCGACTTCTTGTTGCTTCTTCGTTCGATTGAAACTGTTGCGACGTTCGAGTTGTATTTGCGGATATTCCTTGTATTATTGAAAGAAAAATAGGTCAGTCTGGATTCTCATTTTAGTAATATTCGTTGTGAATTTTCCATGGTTTAAAGGTCTGAGTTGTATGTAGTGATATGGTATTTTTTATTATAGTTTATCCATCTCAAATTTGAGAGTTCATGTCCAGATCTCATTGATGCCTTTTACTGCACTCCTCTCGTGTGTTTACTTTTATTTCTTATATCTTTGCTTAAATTAATGTTATATAAAATTCTGTTAAAGAAAAAGCAAATGTTTGCTTTTGGCCGGTTTCGTAAACTAAAGAAATCAATGATGAGAATTTTGTACCATTTTTTTCTGCAACTGAGCATATTTAGGTCCACATGCTTAATTAGAATTGTAGGCTCGAAGATAATTTAAAAGATTACAAAGTTGCTATGTCTTCTACCTGTGAAGGTAAAATTTATTTGGTTTCATAAGTCTCATACTGTTTGTGGCGTCAACCATAGAAGAATAAATATGGTGTAATAAGCTTCATTGTATAGTTATTGAATTGCATGACATTTTGGTCTTGTATAGCTACTGTTGAGAAAGAAGAAACTAATTTTTTTTAATTGGTTAAGTACATTAAATTAAATATTGGGTATTAGTTTTATATAATATTTTAGGTCAGTAGTTAGTTTATTCTCTATGTCACATAGTATATTTGTTTGGGATTTTTTCTTATATTTCATTAAGTATTAACGTGATACTAGTTGGAGTATTTAGCTTTATTGATAAATAAATATAAAACATTGTTTGAATATGACTGAGATGGGAGTTGGGAATAAGAATATTTTATTGCTTTTGTTATATTGTCTTCATTCTCGTTTAATTGCCAAATTCGCTAGGACAAGTAAGTAACAATTTTATTTTGTTTTATAACTTAGTGGTATAATCGACCTGATAAATAATTTAGCAAAAGGATTTCATATTTTTTTTTATAACCTTATATCGCTATATTATAGCATCACTATAATCTCAAAGTAAAAAAAAAATAAAAATATTTGTAGTTTGCTTTAGGCGCGATTATAAATAAATTATCGTGATTATGTACATGTTCGCGTGACATAGTTATGATTTCCCAAATTAAAGGCAAAGTATGCGTTTGCGCAACTTTGACAAAACATTCTTAAAAAATAATAAAGTATTATTAATTGTGTACACGTATGCGTGACATGATTCCTGACACACTAGGCAAAATGAATACACGTACGCGTGATTCTTTTCAAGATAATTCTATAATTTCAAATAATCAAGCAATTAAAAGCAGTTTGAGGCAAAAGTGCATAAATTTCTCTAGAGCATAAAATAAAATATCCAGAATTAGTTAAGCCAAGTATAATTATTAAAGCGACCGTGCTAGAACCACAGAACTCGGGAGTGCCTAACACCTTCTCTCGGGTTAACAGAATTCCTTACCCGGTCTTCTGGTTTCGTGGACTTTAAACAGAGTTAAATTTCCTCCATTTGGGATTCAAAATAAATCGGTGACTTGAGACACCATAAATTATCCCAAGTGGCGACTCTGAAATAAATAAATAATCTCATTTCGATTAATATCACTTAAATTGGAAAAAACTCCTTTCTTTCCTCCCTTCGGGAAAAAGGAGGTGTGACAGACATTGTTCTTTTTCTTTTTCTTCTTCTTCTTGTTTCACTACGTGTCTCTGCTGCTGCTGCTTCTCTGCCACTGATGTGACTTCTTTTTTTCCCGTTTTAACTCGTAGGCGCTTTGCTTGAGAAATCAACGGATTCGAGGACAACAAACACTTCCCCATACTAGTGGTGCTATAAGTTTGGCTAGAAGAAGGGCTTTGATGGTATTTTAATACGGCGTACTTACTGTCGCTTTAATGTGACAAGATTTATTTAGTTTAATTTTGCTTTTTAAAACTTTTAGAAGAAAACAGGGAAAAGAAGTTGATCGCGGCAAAGTGTGGACTGAGACTCATAAGAGGAAAGATGGGAGTTATATGAATGATCAAGCTAGGGAGATTGGGGTAAGTGTCTATCACTTTTTTCTGCATTCCATTTTCTGATCATGTTAGTTCTGCTAAGTAATATCAATAGAAAGTCAAGAAATGTGCAGATGAAAAAGAAAGATCTTGTTCTAAAGTTGGTTTTGTCCATATTTTGCAGTAAATTAACAATGATGATTTGCAGTAAATCCTTTTTTTTAACCTATAATTGAACTGAAATACTCATATTTTACATTAAGTAGCTGCTCTAAATTCTGGAAAAGAGTTTATATCATCTATCTCCTTCATTATGAATACCGAGACTCTATAATCAAGGATGCACCTTTAGCCGAATGTTCTGATGTTTGCACGGAAATTAATCTGCTTCAACATGTTCTGGTGCTTCTATTGAACATAATGTTGTGTTTGTGCAGAGGCCTGAATCTGTATATAGTTTAATCCTAGGGCTGTTACTCCTTCATTATGATGTTATGCAATTGTAACGATTTCAGATCTGAAGAAAGGTCACCATGATAGGAGTGTTTTCGATGAAGACTTCATTTGTGATCTGTATCTATTGAAGCACACATTGTCTGGAGAAAATTCCCTCCTTTGAGCAAAACCCTCATTCTTAAGATTTTTATTTTGTTGACTGTCTATATCTTAAGTGAGTTTCTCAACATTAGTAACTATTTGCTTACTCAATTTGACAAGATGGGTTTAGATTAAGGTTTCCTATCATGTTAAAGGCTTTTTCATACATCATGCATCCAATATGATTTTTAGTTGAAATTTTTTGTGGAGTTTCCATACACTATCTGGTTGATTGAATGAAATGAAGTTATTGTTGATACAAGTACTTCCAGCACTCCAGAATCTACCCATTGACTCGATCCTTAGCTTTTGTAATTATATTTTGTCTCTCGTGTAGGAAAGAATTGAAGAAATTCGAAGACAAAGACCAAAAACTCGGGCAGAAATTTCCCCGAATGACGTGCTTGGTATAGTCTTCGGTCCAGAGCACCCTGGCCGTGTTCGAGGCTTAGGCATGGGTGCAATTCCAACTGTATAATTCAAGCAAACATCAAGACGAGGCGGTGGTTCTTATATGGGCGCAGCTAGCACTAGTGCTCCACCTCCACAATGGGTGCAAGAGATGGCAAATATGAGATCACAATTAAATGTGCTAACAAGCTTATTTCAAATGAAAATAGGAAATATCCCCGAGGAGTTTGCTCACTTCGACTCCTTCACAGGTAAATCTTCTCTTTATTTTTTCTTGGTCTATCAAGAAAAGTTCAAGGGGGTCTAGTGATACTTTCTTCAGTTTTCACTGCAAGTTTAGCTAATGCATTGTCATATGAAGAGGCACTTCAGCAATCAACTACTAGTACTTCAACTGCTGATTTTGATACAAATGCCTTTGTTGAAATTGTGACAAATGAAACTTGTTTAACAATAGCATTACTCAGGATAATTGTTCTCTGATGGTATATACTTCGTTGTATCTTCTGAGTTGTTAGTTAGAAATTGGTGTATTTAGCACCAGGGTAATGACATTATGTGCAATAAGGGAGACCAATTGTTCATGTATTATCTATTGTTCTGGTGATTGTACTGTATCTGTTTGGAATATAATTGCTGCACTGCACTTATGTCAATGAAATCAACATCAAGCTCCCTAAATAAGCTGCATTGAGTCATTTTATACACAGGAAGTTAAGATGAAAAGGATACTTGTTCCTGGATTTGAATTAGTTAACAATTTCAAGGAAACATTTGCTTTTCAAGAGTAGCTATAGGAGATCATATAATTGTTCTCTAGACATCAGTGACCCTACTTGCTGGCATCTCATCTTGCACCAATCTATATTTTTAGTCCTAAAAGTATCCATTAAACAGCTATATCATTTTCGACGTTGATGTTCTGTACCTCGAGATTCTAAAACCTGGGCTAGTTTCAAATTATCTAGGAGATCCATCAAATAAGATTGGACATCAATGTGGCTGCCTTGTGCAAGTGTTCCGGATATAACACCGGAATTGTGACTACTCTGTGATGCTTTTAACTGTCTTTCCAAGCCTTAGAATTCTTCCTTCACAGTTTTAGGCATAACCAGATCTAACTTCTTGTAGGAACCTAAACTTTTGGATAGAAATGTTGCTTAGAAAAGTGGATTGAAGGTGTGTATGAGTCTAATAAGTTGTTTTATTTCATAAATTACTTTCTTTGTGGATAAGTAGATAATCCATTTGTTAACTTGCTTGTATTTCCTCAATATATTGCAACAGTGTAACAATTTCACTTTGAATATCTTTATTACATATATATTTGCTTTTTCAACTTATTTGCTTGAATCCATTGTCTGTGCTCAAGTATAAGAGAAGATGTATTTGCTGAAAATATGTAAAAACAATATCATACTGGCTATATAAAGAGAATCCTTTAGTGGTTTGCTTCAAGAATGTATAACATGGTAAGTTGCAGGTGGCTTCTTAGTATATTTGGTTGATGGTCAACATAGCAGTGATTGTATATGAAGTATATTTTCCTGTTTCAAATCAACCTAATTTAACTGTAAGTTTGTAACATAGGTTGGGAACTTTATCCCATTTCAAATCAACCTAAATTCCGCTGTTATTTCCACTCTTCCAGCCCCTATACTTTTTATTGTAATTGTACCGTAGCTATCTTTTTCATCTGTTTATTATCTTCAATATTACTTGGTTGAGCAAAAGTTCTATTGAATTTTTTGGTGTCTCAAGCCTCAATGTTGTTTCAGCCACTTCTTCAATTGTGACCTTATATTGTTTCGCCCATTTCAAAGAATTAGAATCTTGGTTCCTCCAATTTCAATGTTATGTTATGCATGCACCCAATCTAGGAGATGGCGTTGGAGATGGCATTGGAGATGGCGTTCCGTCACCAACTAGGCTTAGAAGATCCTTTGACGGAAGTAACTATGAAAATGGAGCAAACAACAATTAGTAATCATTGTTAGGATGAACTGTATTTTTTTGTGTTGTAACGATTGAGTAACTCTCTTACCTCTATGCACCATAAACTTGAATCTTGGATCATGTGGATTTTGGGTATGTTTTAATGATGAATATTTTGCTTATATAAGTCTCAACTATAATTTATGTAAATTATTATGATGGGTGCTTGATAACATATTATGGTGGATTTTGTGCAGTAGAAATTAAAGGATAAAGGATTGAAAAATTAACATTAAAAGATTACAATTATGGCAGTATAAAATGGCTAAAATTTGAAAGGGAGAGGACAACAATTACGGCAGTTCCAAACCGCCACAATAAGCAAAGTAAACAGCTGTACTTAAAAATGCATATTGTGGCAGTTTTATCTGTATATTGCGGCGGTTAGACGAAAACGGCCGTAGTACACCTTTTTGCGGAAGCGATTATGGGGGGTGAGTAGGACGCCATTAATAACAATTGCGGCGGTTCTGAACCGCCACTATAAGCAAATGGAACCGCCGCAATTACCCCAATTTTTTGTAGTGTTTGTTCCATTTACTATGCAAGTAGAACACTAAATGAGGCTGAATTATGCCACAACAAAAAAGGATTTACTGATAATAGTATTTGCATTTGATAAGTATTTGATGTCACGATCCAACTCCCACAATAGGCCGTGATGACACCATTAGGCATGCCAACAATAAAATCAATACGTCAATAGTAATTTCAAAATGCATTTCGAAAAAATTAAAGATATAGAGTGAAAGCTCGTTTGTTTTCATAAAAAGTATAGATGTTATTATTTTAATATTCGAATTTTGCCGAAATATATACAACCACGAGATGATTTGCAAAAAAACAAAAAACCTAAACCCGAAACCTCACGCTCTCTCCTCTCTCCCCACACCTCTCTCCCAGGCGACATGGAATGAACTAGGCAGCCATGGCTGCCAACGCTTCTCCCCAGCTCCAAGCTGTGGGAGACCTCCTAAACCTATCAATTTTGCTTCATTAATTGCCAATAAGCATGACGCAAAACCCTTAGCCAAAACTGCATTGAAACCAATCCAATATGTTCATGAAGAACCTACGATTCAATTCACTTTCAAGGAACTGGAGGATTTCGCCATTGAAGAGGGACTTCACCAAGCTGTTTTGATGAAGTTATCATATGGTTCTACAGATTTTAAAATATTGAAGGAAATTCTGCCGCAACAACTGGGTGTCAAAGGTAGGTGGTTGATTGGTTTGCACGCACATCGTCATCTGCTCTTATGCTTCGATTTGTTTGAGGACTACGCGGCTGTTCTTTCATTATCAGTAAGTTATGTTCAATACAATGGTCAGCAACATCAGTTTAGAACCTTCCCTTGGTCAAAATGGTTCAATCCAAAGGAACAAACTTCTAAAGCATTGGTCTGGATTTCTTTCCCAGATTTGTCGCCAAAATTGTTTGCAAAACAACCTCTACTGTCAATTGCTTCAGCTTTTGGGAAGCCTATCACAATTGATAAAGCAACTCAGGAACGAACAAGACCTAGCACTACCAAGCGTGTTTGGTTACATTATTTGGACGAGGCAACTGGAAAGCTCATAGAGAATTATCAAGAGTGTATCATTGATAACCCTCCCTCATATTATACTGTGTGCAAGCATCAGGGACATGATGAATTTAATTGTCGTCTAATCACAAAGAATTCTAGTAATAAGATTCAAAAAGAGAATAAAGTTGCGACGGAGATCGAGGCAGGGAGTAAGGATCGATTTCTAGGTGATTTGAGGAAATTATTGGATGCTAAAAAATTGCAGCAGGTTGCTGAAGTACAGGGGTTTGAATCTGCAAAAAATTAATGGTGACAATCTCCAGGTTTTTATCAAGGATCAGGTGGTATCAAGGCTCTAAATACAACAGCTGTTGCTAATGTTCTTAATGTTACAATTCCTATAGAACAACTTTGGTTAGGGTGTCTTAGGATTTAGCTGTAGCTGGGCATAAGCATAAAGACCATGAACAAGCTATGAATGATGCTGGAAAGAGTTTGCAACAATTTGATTGTGATGCTTCATCAAAAACTGGACAAATCAGTTCTCCATACAGTGGAAAACAGCAGCAACTTTCAGAAAATATAGGTGCTCAATTTAATGTTCCAAAGGATATTGTTCCATTGGGTGCTTGCAAGGAAGCTAAAACAACATTGCGTATCTCCAATCCAGAAGTAGCTAAAATTATAAAGGACACACAACATGCCATGATGTCGAATAATCCAGTGACAAAGCCTTTCATGGTCACTCTAAACATATCGGTGCAAAATGTTCCTTCACAGATAATGGAATCGTTTGGCGAGCAAGAAGGTGATTCTGGGCAACAACTGATGTCAACAGGAAATACTCAGCAAGTAGAAAAAGGTATGGTCTCAATATCTCAAGCAAACAACACAAATAAAATGAATGTTACTAGGGAGCAACAAGCTGTGACGAGTGAAGTTTCGTGTAATCGTAAGACTTGGGCTGATGAAGTAGAAGAGGGTGAAGAATATGGTTTTGATAACACTCAAGATGATAGTATTGAGGTTTTTGTACCATCTAGGCAGCGGTAAATTGCAGCAGTTGGCTTAAAAGATAATCCTAATGCTAAGGCTCTATCTACTGGAAAGATGGCAAGTACAAGTTCACCTATTGCAAGGTACAATTTGACTCCTACAAATATACTCCAAGCTCTTGTTTCTCATGAAATGGATACTTTAAAATTTCTTGATAATCCGGGTAAGGCAGTAGCTACTACCTCCAAGTCCATTGGAGTAGTGGCCAAGAGGCATGAACATAGGGCCCTAACATCAGGGTATAATCCTACTGATGCTTTTGGTATTGATATGGGTAAAGGTTTCTATGAGTAAGGAGGAGAGGAGGAACTACTAGATGCTTGTTTTAATAATGTAGCTAGGGATGGAGATCTCTCAACTAGCCATGTATGAAGTGGATCCAACAAAAACAAGAAGAAGGCACGTGAGAGACAACATAGTTGGGATGGCAAGTAGAGCTCTCAATATGGGCGGGGCCGGGCTAGCCCAGCCTAGCCCACATGGGCTTTAGCAATTTACGGGCTGGGCTGGGCTAGCCCACCATTTTGATGGGCCTTATAATGGTCAGCCCACCCCAGCCCTATGTGGGTGTGGGCCCCACGAGCCGTCCCATTATTTTTTAAAATATAATTTTTTATTTTTCTTTAAGTTCTAACCTAAAAAAGATAAATATTTAAAAGTTAAAAAAAAATCTTATTGGAAAAATTTCACAAAACTTAATAACTTTTATGATGTTCCAATATATCACAATAAACACTAAAAAAGTAAAGGACAAAACTATATTTTATTCACTAAAAGTCAAACTCAAATCAAACTATTCAAAAGAAGGCCTTATATTTTATTCGCTTGTGAGAAGGTTGTCTTTACATCTTTACTTTCATCTACATCTACAATTCGTATGCAATATTAATTAGTTAAATATTTAGAATAATTAAATTTTTAAAACTGATTAACGTTGTAAGACTTTGATTTTTTAATATGTTGAGCTTAATAAACTTTAAACTTGGGATATTCTTCATGTTATTTTTTGTGTCATATACTTTTTATATTTTATATATTTTAAATACGTATTTTTATTCGGGTAGAGGTAAGGTCTGCGTACATATTATCCTCCCCAGACCCCACTTGTGGGATTACACTGTGTTGTTGTTGTTGTTGTTGTTGTAAATACGTATTTTTATTAGGCTCACGGCCCGACCCGACCCAGCCTCACTCAAGCCTCACGGGCCACGGGCTTACTCGGGCCGGGCTTAAAAGCCTCTTTTTTAAATAGGCTCTACAAATTCTAGCCCATCCCTGCTAAATTACGGGTTGAGTTGGGCTGGCCCAACGGGCCAAACACATATTGACGGCTCTAATGGCAAGGTCACAAAAGAGGTTATCATTAGGCAACTTCCAATGAGAGTTACAAAGAAAAAAGGGGCTGCCCCTACCACCTCCACAAGGTCCAATAGATCAAATAGAAATAATGAAGTTTAAAGAATTATTGAAGATAGTTGAAGAGGAAGACAATGAGCTACAAATTGAAGAAATCACAATATTGAAGAAAAAGGGGCAAGACTCTAATTTCAATATTATTTTGTTATATCATTTTTTAAGCATTATCATATGTAATATCATCACAGAGTGTGCTATAAACTATGTGATGATCATAGAGTACTTAGTTTTCTCTAGTTCTTATTTTTTACAAGCTCGCTAGTAGACGAGGTTGTTTATATTTCAATAGGAATTGTAAGGTAAGGTCTAGCTCAGTAAGTGTTGTTATCCTTTCTTTGCCTCTGGGAATGTATCCAAATGGCTATGAGATCACTTGCCCTCGTGAGGCTTTGCCATCATGAGGGACATCATGAGGCGTCGGAGGCGCAAAGGAATGATCATCTTACCAAGGCAATAGAGGCTATTGTAGTTTTTGCCCCCTTACTTGTACTTTTCCTTTGTGCTTCTTTTGTTATTAATAAAACTAGCTACTAGGAAGCCCGCTTAGCGCTATATTTTGTTAAAAAAGAGATATAACCATGAGCAAAAATCTAAATCCTCAAAACACAGCGTCACAAGTGCATGAGTATTTACGAAGGAGTATAATACTAATACAATATTTGTCCGGAATATAAAATAGACACGATAAAGTAAATGAATATGATAGAGACTATGTGTGCTGTGAATCGTAACATAGAATGCAACTCACCATAAAGTCCCCTCAACAGTTGCGACTATGCGCCAATATGACCACCAAATGAAGGTGACTGAGTACCTACATAATTAGTGCAGAAGTGTAGCATGAGTTTGTAAATCAATGCGTACCTAGTAAGTATCTAGCCTAACCCTTAAGAAGTAGTGATGAGGGGCCGACATCGATACTTACTAGTGGTCTAATAAATCAAGTATAACGAAATTAAACAGATATGAAGTATAGCAGGTAAAAAGAACAACAAAAATATAAGTGCATAATACGATCCTCAACAGAAGAATAAACATGAAGTCCTCGATAACCGGATACTACTTTGAATAG